ATGAGTAAACATTTAGTCAAATCATCTAAAGGAACAATTCGTTCCTCCCTACACTCTAGGTTAATGGACACCTACCAGAAAACAACTACTTCCCTGGCTGATACCATGAAGGTAGTTGGATTATATCTAACAGGTGTCATTGCAGGATTCTTCACTGAAGTTATTCCTGCATATGCTGTTGGCGATACAACTGACGAAATAGTTTTCAATTATTGGAACACACTTGCAGACCGGTTTCGGGCTGTTTGGCCACTCGTCAGTCCAAGGTAGTATATCATCAACATAAAGTCGATGATTTCCGATAATTGAAAATCAAATTCCTTCAGAGTATCATTCCTCGAACTAGGCTGAAGCGGACAACAACCAACAGGTTTGTCTTCGCCCCATCAGCCTGTGAAAGAGGTAACCAACCACATATCTGAAATTTGCCCGATTCCTCGTATAAGAAAAGAAAACTTTCCACATATAGTCAGTGGGCATACTTGAAGACTGGCTATAAATCAAATCATCTGAAGGAACAATTCTTTCCGGCCAGTCTCAACTCCCTAAACTGTAGGTTAATAGACTGAAACCTATCAGAAAACAACTACTATTCTGGCTGATACTAGGAAGTTCGTTGGATTATATCCGACAGCCCGAAACTGGTCTACAAGTGTGTTCCAATAATTGAAAATCTATTGGGGCAGTCGCCAACAGCATATGAAGAAATGACTTCTTTTGGAGGATCCTGCACTGATACATGTCGGATAAAATCCAACGGGAGTAGTTGTTTTTTAATAGGAATTGTTCCTTTTGATGATTTGATTTATAGCCAGTCTTCAAGTATGCCCACTGACTATATGAAACATATTGTCATCGTGAAAAAAACAGATTTATTTTTCTCTCCGCGACACATTCATTGAAGAAATGAGTTTTTCATCTTGTGGTGATTTCGAAATCGGTGTTGATGAGGTGCTGAGTAGCTTGTCCCGAAACCTCGAAGTGTACCATTGAGGATAATAGTGTTCCATTCAGTTGACATCCTATATAAATAGCACACATATATTACATTGTATGTTTCTGTTAATTGTCTTTGTAGTACAAACTGAATGGTAAAAACGATTATAATTTAACGTTTTCTGTTTTTTGTTTTCTCTCGTATAATTCAAGGTTCACGTGGAAGAGTTGTTGCCAAAAGATTTTTTTCAGTTTTTCCTGAAAAAAACCTCTATTTATGCTCTATATATCTCTATGTTTCATCAAAGTTATTTTTTTCTAACTTTCTTTGGAAGTTTTGCATATTTCTCGTTCAATAGAGTAGATCACTCTACACTCCGCAATTCATCTTTATTAAGTATAAATGCTTCGAAATTTTCAAACCCATTCTTGGAATGTAACACCAAGTTTTCGAATCTGAATCATACGAAAATTTTGCACTACGTAGGCAAGGGTTGGTAACTCAATTATTTGAGATCCTTGAAATCAATCATAAGCATTGCGAATGTTACCTACTAAATGACCAAATTGACCTGGTCTACTCACCGGTTTTCAGATTAGCATACCCACATTGTCACATGTGAACAAAATTTGTATAACAATTTTTTTCACAAGCACTGAAGAAGTTACAATATTGAAATTAACCTGACGTTTTATACTATCAGAAAGACACTCAGCCAGTAATTTATTTGGTTTACCCCATGGTTGTAAGGGGTGGAAAACGCAACCATTAAAATTTTTTTCCAATGTAACTTTTTGACTTACCATTTGAAAACTTATTTACGATAGCTTGTTTCATTCTAAACAAAAAATGTCTCCTGAGTTTCATTACTCAGTTTCATTTTTGAATTTCACCTATAAATGGAATGAATATGTAAAAAATTTAATTTTGATACATTTTTTGAAATATTTACGTTCGAGACAATAGTCCTTTCTCCTCAAGAAAATGACCATCTTGTTATATTAGGGTGTTTTTGAGGTGAACATTCTTTGAGAGTTATTTAGAAAAACAAAAAGAAAATAAGTAATCACTGAATAGCTTGGCAGTGAGATAATCATTTGTGCATCATATTGTATGATTTTGTCCGGGTGTTGAGAAATGGAAAAGTGATTTTTCGATTACGTATAACCGAATGGAACTTTAAATTGGAGTGCAATCATAAAACAAGTGAATCAAACAACAAATATAAACACGTGAATCAAATGTTTAGAAAAATACTCATTTTTGGCAACCGTACGGGAAGTATCCACCCTTCGTGCACTTTTCCTTTGAAAAAGACGCAGTTTTCCGACCTAGTTCAACAAATACGAAATTCCCGAACTAAGCCGGAATTGTATTTGTGAAAATTTTGGTAGGTGAGGTTTTGAAAATGCTATTGATTATTACCATAGCAGCGAAATAACGACTGACAACTATTTGACATAATTTTTTTTTCAAATTGGCTTTTTTTTCGAAATTATTGCAATGAATACATTATCGCAACTATTGCAATACATCACAATTATTGCCTGAAAAATCAAATGAAATACAATACAAATAGGAATTGAAATGGTTAAAATTTTGTTCGACAAAGAAATATAATGAAGAAATATGCCTCATTGTTTTGTTTTTCTACACGGTTGTCAGAAAAACAGTGTACGCAACACTTCCAAACACGCCTTCGGCTCGTCCTAGAATTTTGTCTACTCCCCAAAAAAAAAAAGATATTTTTCACACTTGTTAGGTGAATTACTCTGTTCGGTCAATTTTTGGACTCTCTGGTTCATAAAAATGATAATTGAATCAAAACATCACTCACATTATGAAGGCAGTGATTCCTTTAGAAGAGTTCACTTGAGAAAACTTATAACAAAATACCTTTCATGGAAAACAGAATTCTAATTTATAGGAAAAATCAATTTTTCGTCATGAGTAATGAAGCCGACAATTAATGGCAACAATTGGCAACTACGATTCAAAATATAATTATGGTACTCAAACTTTCAGAAAATGCCAATGTCAATAGTCAAATAATTGAACTGTGTCTAAATGTTTTCCCAGATAGAAAAAATTGAAGAGTAAGAAAACATCAAATCACTCTTGACAACTATTTTGAGTAATGCAATATCTGCCAGTTCAATAGAACTGACGCCTTCACCTGAATGACTCACAAAAAAGTCTGAAAGTTGCGATTTTATTTTGTTTCATGACTCCTAAGGAAAGTTCGAAGTACCAGAGGATTTCTGAAAACAATCAATGCAATGTGATTTTCACTACCTATTTTGTATTTCTACCCAAATCGATTAGGCATGTCGCACGAACATATGAACAGACAATCAGACAGTCAGACAAACGAAAGTCATAATCAAAAAATTGCTGTGGTTTCAACTGCTTTGAATAATACACGCAGTAATAGTTTCAATCAAATAGGTCTCATGTACAGATAGCTTTCAGTTGAACTTTTATTGTATGTTCCGATTCAAAAATGTTCCGAAAAAAATATTGTTCCAGCAACTAAAGTAACAATTCGCAAATTACGAAACACCGCGTAGATCAACTTACTCTTTCGTGCAAGTAGGCGTTAGCAGCAGACAGTCCAATTAAGGAGAAAGCCAACATTCCAATCCACCTCATTTTGTTAAATTAATAATCTGAAATATAAATCCTATTGAATCAAATGATATAGGCTATGTAACAATAGATATATATCAAACAGAATAGATAGGAATTGAAAATACACTGGTCAAAACCGCACTCGATATAACTTACCGTTATTGAATGGCGCTATAAAAAAAAATTCATGTCATTGAAATATGTCGATGATTGGTATCAATAAATGAGCTCATCAAACATCGAAGGCCTTTTGGAGATATATTCAATTCAAAATGAACTCCTTGAAATATAAGAAGTCCGCACAGAAAATTTGCTTGAAATTGCGAAGAAATTAGTGGAAAATTAATAATTGGTTCTATTTTTTGCAAGTATCTCGAAAATTATTGCAAATATCTAAAATACATATGATAAGAAAACTTTGAAAAGAAAAAAACTTATTACAAAAATGTTCAAAAATCGATATTTATGAGCTAGTGAGAAGAGGAATGCTAGTGACGCTAGTGATGCTCCCTTTTCCAAAAAAATATGTGTTCAACTAATAAAGCAATAATATTGAGGAGTTCAAAAATTCATAAAAAAAACACTTCGATAAGATTTTCACTCGACCGTTTACAAACGTGTTTCGTTCTACGATAACATCTTCAGGTGTCACAACACTGCCTCCAGTTTAATGAGTTTCTCTCAGAAAAGTGAATATTTTATGTAATGATTTTGTCATATATCAATTTGTCAGGTAGTGATAGGATTCAAATTACTATGAGAACATGACACTGAATTTGTTCATTCAGTTTTGTGTAGCGAAATACGTGTCGTGGTTTTGTAAACTGGCAAACGGAAACCCCTCATTGAAGTTTTTTTTTATTACTATTTTCACCAAGTATCGGATAGTTACATCATATTTTCAAAAAAATTCAGTATTTCATGTGCATGAATGAACAATAATATGTTGCAAACAATTTTGTTTCGCAATCTGTATATGAGTTACGTTTCCAATCTATGGTATGAGAAAATTAAAAATTCAAATTCAACACTCAAACAGAAAATTTGCACAATATTTCAATTGTCAAATTTCCCCTCACGAAACACTGCATGGATAATAATGATTTTCGAAAAAAAATCGATTTTCCAAAAAAAATTAATTCAAATCACTGTGGACAGCACAAATGTGCTTGCTGGGTTGAATTTTTCAGTGCAACATCTTTTGACTTTCCCTTGGTATTCAAAACACGTGTCGAAGTGTTAAAAATAACGATTTGGTGTTAGGAAAAACTCCATTGATATTCATTACTACATTGAAGGTTCCAAACAGTGCATCATAAGCAAAAAATGAATTCTGGTGATTATAAAAGTGATAATGGGGCCAATCTATGGTATGAGAAAATTAAAAATTCAAATTCAACACTCAAACAAAAAATTTGCACATATTTCAATTGTCAAGTTTCCCCATCACGAAACACTGCATGAATAATAATAATTTTCGAAAAAAAATCGATTTTCCAAAAAAAATAATTCAAAGGTTTGTTTCTTAATTAATTAACACCAAAAACTGATACTGAGAAATAATTTTCCACAGAACACAAAAGTAGTTGATTGTCAAGTTACAGAGAAGATTTGCATGTTTTTTGAAGAAACGAATACTTTCAATACATGGATTTTCAAAAGACAATGTTTTGGTTGGTTTGAAAATTCGAATGACGCATACACAAGATATAAACTAAGATTCAGTTGACAAGGAAGAGCATACTCCCTCTTGAAGATGATCACGTGGTGATCGAAACACGTGTCAAAGTGTTGAAATAACGGTTTGGTGTTTGGAAAAAAACTCCAGTAACATTCATTACCACACCAAACGTTCCAAACAGTGCATCACAAGAAGCAAATAGTTTGTCTAATTGAATTTTTCTCTGCTTCGTATTGTGTGTTAGAAGTCACACGTTGAAAGGTGAAACCCCGTTGATCCTTAGCTCGCACAAGTTTCGACATCTGAGGGTTGTCGTTTTTTAAAAGATCTACTATGAACTTGAAATTATTTGTTACAATTATTTTAGCAATGAAATATTATTCAGTTCTCACCTTCTTCCAGTGAAGTTGACTGACTTTCACAGTTTGATGTAAAATTACTTACTGAATATGGCTTTTCCAACATTACAGGTTTTATTGTTTTTTTTTTTACTGTTAAATCAAGTCTGATTGATAAGACGACTATACAAAGTATGCAATCGCCACTTCGTGCTCACAAGTTGTAGTTCAAATTAGTGAAAAAACGGCTTTCAGATATATGCTGATAATTCAATGCATTTTCAAGGTTATCAAAGTATATGTGTGAACATTGAAAATATATACAAATAAAAATAGAATATCTGAATGAAGGGTATTCTGAAAATCCATACAACGTGAAAAAATGAAGAATAAAGCATGGCAAATGTGGCTGTCCCTCTTAAAAACTCAAATGATAGAGACAGATGGTAACTGTCCACTATCAACTTCTATCAGGAAGTACAATCGAGAAAAGAATTTTGGCTCAAATAAATCATGCAAGTGCAACATATATACCAGTGGGGAACGGGAACCACAATTCTTTTTTTGTACAGGTGGAAAATAATTGAAAGATAATGAGTAATTCATAATTGCAAAATCTCAATATCAACATTCTCATTACAAATAAATGAATTGGTGGGGAGTGTATGAAATTACAATCGAAGGACAACAGATGATCAGGGCCGTAGCGAAAAGAAAAACCAGGGGGGGAAGGGAATCCAAATTTTCCCAACTTCACCAGCAAAATTTCCCAACTTTCCAAGAAATTAAAGCCGAGGAATTAGTTACTACTATAATATGATAATTTTCTTACTTAGCTATCCAAATATTGGCTGAATGATTATGCTCGTTAAGGTATGCACAAACAAAACAAAATTTTGAATATTACTGGAGTTTTTTCTTCCCCAACACCAAATCGTTATTTTTAACACCTCGACACGTGTTTCGATCACCAAGTAATCATCTTCAAAGAGAAAGATTAAAACTAGAAACTAAGGCGAAGCTAACCCTATTTATTCTATATCCCATACAGGTAAACCATCCAGGTAAACCCATACAGGTGTACCAATCTGANATTCATTTTCTTACTATTATTTTTTCTATCTTCATGGCCCAAAATTTCCCAATTTTTTCCAACTTTTTCCCAAATCGAAAAAGCAGGGGGGCTTTTCCCCCATCCCCCCCATGGCGACGGCCCTGCAGATAATTGAATGCATTGTTACTAGAAACGATTATGGAACACAGATAATCTACGAAACATCATTAGCAAATTGAAAGGGTATATATACCCTTCAATATACCATTCAATCAAATGAACGAATGAATGTTATTTACGTACTGTCATCGACGACATGGGTAACTTCGACCCATTCCGTGACAAAAAGAAGTAATTATGAACGAATTGAGTGTTTTTTCTTATAATGTTATCCGTATTTGCTACTGAGAAGCCAATGAGGCAAGTGTATTATGGCGAAACACCGGAAGGCTAGCAGTGAGAATGACAGTGTTCCATGTAGGTGAAATTTTACGTCTTGACACGCTTTTATCAGCTTCACCTGTATGTTTGTATGTATGTTTGTTTCTTTGTTTGTAACTCTCAAGCTCAGGATTTGTATTTGACAGAATTATCGACATGATTGCTAGATCTATTCGCGGGCAGATGGCGCTGTACGTAACCTGTACGTAACGTATAATTCAAACTCACTTCACATGCATTTCTTCATTTGAAAAACTTATTTTTTTTCATCAACCCGCGCGTCTGCTGCCTTAAGGCTTCCTCTCCGGAATCGGAAAATATAAATGGATATTATCAACAAAAAAGTATAATAATACCAGAGCAATTCGAAAAATTTATTAATATATGGGGTGTTCCATTCAAAAAAATAAAGTTGCTAGGACTTTTTGATAGAAGTGAAAACGCCGCAATGCTGAAAATATTTCAGATCGATAGAACAGGTAAGGAAATGTGAGAGGTGAAATTTTCAGAAAAATCATGCTTTGCGTTTTCCAGAAACGTCTAACCTACCATCGACCGTGAGTCACGCTGTATAATGAAATGGGTAAATTCCCGAAAAAATTATTGGTTTGGTTTACAGGGACCGTGTCGTATGGGGTGCCCCATCCTGTATATTTATGTCCAGAAATGATGACCCCTACACTAATGCATATTCCACAGCAATATCCTTTCAAGTGTTGTCTCTTGTCGAAAACACGATATGTTTGAATTCATTTCTCATCAAGGACAATCAGTTTGCATACAAATTGATATGAATCGTTCATTTATTCCTCCATTGCGTGATTTCTTTCTTCATAATTGCATTTACGAATCGCGACATGTGAATACTATTACGATAAAATTCATTTTGAGATCTTCTAAAAAACATATAAAATCTCCATTCGAATGGAAGATGATCTTAAAAACTTGTTTTTCAAAAGACGAAAATCTGCTGTACGAAATGATTATATATAAATGGCTGAAGATTGCTTCCTCTTCAGTTAGAATATTGATGAAACAGGTGAGAAACTTTCATTTTCATTTTTTCATTGGTTGAAGTTTTTTCGAAAATTTTTTGAAAATGAGTTTTCTGCAACTGATTTTGTGTCGAAAACATAGGCTGTGAGCTGATCATGTTTTACATTTGTCCTACTTTTCCATCGAATGTAATTGTTACTTCGACTGAATTATTCTTTTTCTAAGCTCCGGGGATATCCTTGAATGAAAGCAATAAGCTTGAATAGTATTGTTTTTTTCCAGATTTTCGTTATATTCAAAAGTATAGCATAATAATATATTAAATGAATGTCATATGTGTTTCTTGATATGTGTTCCACCAAAAAAAATTGTGTCATCAGAAAAAGGTGCAAACTCATTCTGGAAAACAAACAAACAATTAAAAAATCATGATGATTCCTCAGGAAATCAAACTGTCAATACTATGAATGAAATTTCTCGAAAGCTTTCAATGGATCGTGGTATTCGTCTATATTTCTCATGTCATATCAATATCATTTTGAAATCACATACATGAAACAACTGTACATACATAAATACCCAATACCTTCTTTTTTATTTCCTTCAGTATAATGATTATTGAAACTATAACTGATGATGAAATACAGTTTCTATTTTTCGAAAAGTATCGCAAAATCTGAAGGGTAATGTGGAGAAAACGTTATCAATTCTCATCTCTTTGAATTTAATTGTTGAGTTTTCCCGATTCTCATTATTCCCAAATGAGAATTGAGAGCCAAATTTTCGAAAATCATTAGTTTTTTTAAGAAAACGGTTTTTCGACTTTCAACTTCTCCATCATTGAATAAAAAAAATGAGGAACTTTCAAACTCCCAAAGAAAATAAGATAAGGCATTTTTGTCCCGGAATTTCGAAGTATACAATCGAGAATGATATTGTTCAATCGAATGACATTTTACATTGTTGGGCATTCCCATGAAGCATTCCTATTTCAATTCCCTACCAAAATATTCGTACTACAAGCTGAGTCGTACTTTAAAAATTTCCCCATTATTAAATAATGGGGAAATTGCATTTCAAAAGTTTTTTTCCAAAAAACTGGTCTGGAAAATATTCCCCTTTTCTATTCAAATGAAATATCTGTGACTGGAATTGATAAACCGTACGAATGAGTAAACATTTAGTCAAATCATCTAAAGGAACAATTCGTTCCTCCCTACACTCTAGGTTAATGGACACCTACCAGAAAACAACTACTTCCCTGACTGATACCATGAAGGTAGTTGGATTATATCTGACATTGCAGGATTATTCACTGAAGTTATTCCTGCATATGCTGTTGGCGATACAACTGACGAAATAGTATTCAATTATTGGAACACACTTGCAGACCGGTTTCGGGCCACTCGTCAGTGAAATGTAGTGTCTATCATCAACATGAAATCGATGATTTCCGATAATTGAAAATCAAATTCCTTCAGAGTATGATTCCTCGAACTGGGCTGAAGCGGATAACAACCAACAGGTTTGTCATCTGAAGAAACAATTCTTTCCGACCAGTCTCAACTCCCTAAACTATAGGTTAATAGACTGACACCTATTAGAAAACAACTACTATCCTGGCTGATACTATGAAGATTGTTGGATTATATCCGACAGCCCGAAACTGGTCTACAAGTGTGTTCCTATAATTGGAAATCTATTGGGGCAGTTGCCAGCAGCATATCAAGAAATAACTTCATTGAAGAATCCTGCACTGACACATGTCGGATATAATCCAACGGGAGTAGATGTTTTTTAATAGGTGTCAGTCTACCATCCTAGGTAGACTGACACCTATAGGTGTCAGTGTAGGGAGTTGAGACTGGCCTGGAAGAAATGTTCCTTCACATGATTTGATTTATAGACAGTCTTCAAGTATGCCCACTGACTATATGTAACATATTGTCATCGTGAAAAAAACAGATTTATTTTTCTCTCCGCGATACATTCATTGAAGAAATGAGTTTTTCATCGTGTGGTGATTTCGAAATCGGTGTTAATGAGGTGCTGAGTAGCTTGTCCCGAAACCTCGAAGTGTACCATTGAGGATAATAGTGTTCCATTTAGTTGACATCCTATATAAATAACACACATATATTACATTGTATGTTCCTGTTAATTGTGTTTGTAGTACAAACTAAATGTTAAAAAAATGGTTATTTTTTTCTAACTTTCGTTGGAAGTTTTGCATATTTCTCGTTCAATAGAGTAGATCACTCTACACTCCGCAGTTCATCTTTATTATTATCATGGAGGAATAGAAAGCCAAGAAATTTCATTTCCAAAAGACCCCCCATTTATTGTTGGAATGTATACGAGTAATAAATCAAATTTTTCATTTACAGCATTCATTATGGACAACGTTTTCAGATTTCTGTTGATGTCCATTGGATTATTCATTGCTAATGCGTACGTGAAAGAAGAGGTATGTTTGAACGAATTCAACAATTTCATTAGAATGAACAAGTCTGTTCAAGAGATTCATGAATCAAATCATAGATAATGTCACTAGGATTACCACCCATCATCACTTTCTGTATAATAATACTTCCATATTATGAACTATATACCAATTAAGAACTATATAAATAAAGCGCCCAATACGGAAATAATAGTAGATGCATTGGATATAACAGTAACAAGAACCAGAGCACCAGCTCTGGTATTGCTACCGTTACCACATCGCCTTTAAAAATGTCTACCGCAGCAGTAGACGAAACGTCAGGCATAAAACGGCCAGAAAACCCGAAAAATAGCCTTCATTCAACTATCATAGTTGCTTGAAATGATATGGGAAATGATAAATTCTGTTAATGATTCATTATTATTCAACATGAAACTTCATGTATTCTCAAAGTTCTACGAATGATTGCAAACTGAGCATACAAGTTTTTTACACAAGGTGTCGGGTCTGACACTCAGCTTCATCATAACGCAATGTTCATATCCACTGAGATAACTCAAGTATATGTGGAACTTCCAGACAACACTAAATAAATTTTGAAAAAGTTATTTATGGGGTCTGTTGAAGTTTATGATGTCTAGCTTTGAGAAGGCGCTTGAAATATCAAAACAGATACAGAACCCTAACCTTTTGGTTGTACGAGTTACTTAAATAATCATGACTTATTTTTTCAAAAACAACAACTGCAGTATTCGAAAATGCCCTAGCTATACCTTCTGGTAGAATTTTTTGGGAAATATGTCATATCAAACAGATTGATTTAGAGAAGCTATTTCCTCAACTTGTGTGGCTGTTATATCAACGAAAAAACTGTGCAAACATATCAAGAAAATCATTCATTTCAAAGATTTGTTCCTGCATAGTAGTATCTGGAGAATGCCTACCATGAAACAAATGGTTCCCTTGTTATTACCACGATTAATATTGAATANCTTGTTCCACCAGCATAATATAGCAGAGGATCCTACCTCTATATTTCTATTCAAGGTTAATGACATTGTGAAATAATACTTCATCGTATCATTATTACAATATGATCCTACATTAACGAAGTAGAGCTCACACATTTTCTTGACGAAAACAACTTCAAAATGAAACATTCTGTTAGAAAAACAGCAACAAAAAAGGCATTACCTACTAGAGAATCCATAATGACGAAAATTACTTCTTGACAACATCTGATCAGACGAATTTTGAAACAGTTCAATATCAACAAGGCGTCTGATTCTGATGAAGGCGTGTCATCGTACTCAAAAAGTGTGCAAATGAACTCACACCAGTATTTTGCAGATTACTCGCGTTCAGCCTATTCCCTAAAAACTCAATTAACCATAAACCACCACATCCTTCAATATTTGGAAGGCTTCAAAATCTTGAGCGATCATCATTATGGCTTTCAGAAACATATTTCAGCAGTCGACCTTCTATCGTATGGAGAATCAAGAGCTGTTGCGCTTGATATCCCTGAGGCTTTTGACCATGTGAGGCATATCGGTTTGCTAGCTAAACTTCGATGATATGCCTTGTCGAATCATTTCTGTGTATGGCTCTCCAGCTTCCTGAAAGAGCGTTTCCTGCAAGTGGCTCGAATAATTTTATCATCAACGCTGGTGTTCCCCAGGTATCTTTATTGTCTCCAACCCTCTCTTTATTATATATCGAAAAAAAAACAAGAATCCAATATACTGCTTTGCTCACGACAGCACAAGTGTGTCGTCATTACGTTTGGATTCCTGAACATCGGTTGCGGATTCACATCTTCTCCGGCAGCAGGAGGTGGCCTATCTTAATGAGGATCTAGAAGTGATTTCGAATTGGTGTGGAAGTAACCAGGTTCAGTTCAATGCCACAAAACCCAGGCATTGGTTTTCCCCAAAGAAATTGATGTTTCCGAACAGGGTATAATAATGTCAGGACAGAAAATTTCTATTTCTACTTCAATAGGTTTGTTGGGGGGTTAAAATGGACATCAATATGTCTTGGCACAATCATGTCGCTGAAATCGCGAAGGCTGCTTCTCAAAAGCTTGAAACACTGTTCCGAACCAGAAAACTGTACCCACCACAGCAAATTTTCATTCTTTATAAAGCTCAGGTCAGGTCTTCCTTGAAGTATTGTTTTCATGTATTGAGCTCCGCCACTAAGCATGCCCTGAAGCTGCTGGAATTCCATCCAAAAAAGAGCCATCTGCCTGATTGAAGTGACAAACATCACTAATAGCCTCGAACATGTAAGAAAGGTGGGAGATTTGTCTCTCTTCTATTGATAATTTCACAGAAGGTATTCAAGTGACTGGGCTCAATTGATTGCACCAAGAGCGCAAGCGTGCAAGAGCACCAAGTACATACAGAAAAACGCAATGAACTGTGGCTACAGATAGATAGATTGAGGTTCCACTCACTTCACTGTTCAAAAACTCGTTCATTTGGAAAAACGCGTTTATGTGGACTCAACTTTCTGAGAATGGTTTTTCAAATGGATTGAATCTCCAGCAATTCAAATCCAATGAGAGTTGCTAAATTCATACAGGCTCCGCTCTTAGAGCGCCTTTAAGAATATTTCTGTAGTGCTTGTATTTTGCCCTTCAAAAAGATACATAACTTTTTTTATATTTCTGGTCAGAAACGGTATCCTCAATATAATTTTTATTTTTGCAGGACTTCAATGAAAAATTGTATAATTTCTGTAAGAAGTGGCACAAAAGATGTGATATAATAGCTGGAATTTCGAACGAAGAACTGGATGAAATAAAAAATGGTAACTTTGATGGTTTCGATGAGCAAACTACTGAGAAGATTCAGGTAAATTTATGTAGTGAATTAAACTTTTTTTGTAGAATTCGACCCAAATTGTATTGATGACAATAATAATAATAATAACAGCTCAGTCTATCGCAGTTACGTAATGGGTAAAGAGGTTCCTGATACAAGGAGCAGGGCCTACCGCGAGGCGCCTGAGAGCAAATCAAGCATATGCGTTCTCAGTCTTCATCCATCGCCATAAAGCGGCCCTAAGGGTGCGTTATCCATGACACTTCGGAGGTATTGACGGCACACCGGTGTTGCCCTCTGCTTCAGGAAAAATTTAATCCATTGTGAAGAATTAGAAGTGCCGAATCTAATAGAACTATTCAGTTTCCACTCCCAGGCTTATACATGTTCATAAATGAGTTGTAATTTTCCGGGGCCATCAGAGCAAGACGTGGAGTTTTCAGCTTCTGCCGAGACGAATACCTTCCGAAAAGGAAAAAAACGGACTCTATACGGGCTACTCTATAAGAATGGTCGTTTTGATCATTGGAGTCCCTGGTGAAATGAAGCCCTATTCACTTTCAAATCTCAAGATAATGCCGGCTCAGTCGCGCAAATGTAGAATTATCTCATATTTTTAACTCATTGTGTCTGCTCAGGAAAAATGATCCTCGAATTCGAAGATCAGTAACCGCAGTGTGTGGGAATAGTCATTGATTGAAAATGCTAGAGCGCCTCCGAATAGTTGAAGCTTTGCTGATAGGGCCCGACCTACTGACCCTTCGATGAGAATGATAATAGAGATTATAATAATAATAATAATGAGACGTATCCCTACTTCGGGGTGAAACAACGACAGTAGAGAACTCTCTTCGCGACAAGTATCAGCACAAACTCTAACAGAGCTGTATCAACTGTAACAGAGCTAGCTGTATCAACTCAACGTAAAGACCCAAAAAATGATGCACCTTCATAGGAGTTTGCATCTCAAATCATCCGTTCCATAGTTGTACTTCCCCCGACAACAGAGGCGCCGTGGACTTTTGAGTTTGGCGTGTCGTTATGACAGAATGGTACTTGATGGAGCTGGTAAAATCGTCAAAAATCCAGATCGCTTTTTCTGCGTGGTTTGCGATCATGAAAGAGCAGGAATTGGGGTATTTCTCTTCAGGGCAGCTACCCGAGCAGCTGGTGAACCGGGTTTAGTTTTTGATACTGAACGAGGCGATAACAACTCTATCACTGAGTTTGAGCCCTGCAGCAACTCAAGGATATGCCAAGGCATTGAGTCTCCTTCAACAGCATTGAAGTCCTCCGCTAATTTAAGCTCCTGAACTTCGCCTCCTTCAGGTAGAGTGGGCTGAAGTCTGAAATTGAGCCTCCGGTATTATTGTTCCACGCTCCTGGGGATATTGAATCCATTGTGGGGAACGAGAAGTGCCGATTTCATTGGAATTATTCGTTTTCCACCCATAGGCTCATACAAGCTGAAAAGCCTCATAAAGTTCTTCCCAATCATCAAAACAAGACGATATTGTCGTAGAGTTTTATGCTTCTTGCGACACAAATCTACTCTCCACTCCCGCATCTTGAGATTATGCTGGTTTGACGCGCCAAGGCAGAAATCTCAGCCGGACAAATTCAGGAAGCTGTCGTTCTTGGCTTCTTGCGTCTGTTTAGGGAACATATTTCCCGTACCCAATGATTAGTTTCGGAAAGTAAATAATAATATCGACTTCATGTCGAAACTCATCATTACGTCTGTCTTCTGTATTTCTCTCAAGTCTCCGGAAAACAGAGCAGTCTCGTGAGCTTGATACGTTTTCATGACCCTTATAATCATGTTCCTTGTACTGATTTCAACAGGTCCCTTACTTAATATATGTCATATTTTCCTTGACACTATCCGTGTTGTCCATGAATTGTTCGCCTCGTGTATTGCAGTGTCTCGCACTCGCATGGAATAAGACGAACTGTTTATGCTTCTTTGGTGCATTGCCTACAGCTAGGTTTCCGATATACAGCCTTATATTTTCAAGTGGTTTTTCAATGGTCCAGTGAGCAGCCACTGTTCCTAATTTTCCTGTGCCAATCTCTGCTTCCTTAAACAGTTACTTGGTTATCATCTCTGCAGTTTTTATATGAAGATCTCTACGTATATGTTCACCAGTGTATTCATCCCGTACTCTTTATGTTTTAAGATAGATCATTGAAGAATACACTAGTGACCATTTTTTAGGTGTCTAGTTCGAAAGTAGCAAAATGTCACACATTTTCCCATCGATATTGACAAATATGAAGCTCACAAGACAAGACACTTGCTTCACCGAATTTCTTCAGCTTTTATTATCAGATTGTATCTGATTTCAATTAGATCCTCCACAGAAATCATTTTGTCCCTTCAAGCGAACAAAATGAATTGATTTTCGGGAACCTCGACCTGCAATAGGACAACACTCAGTCTGTCATAAATTCGAAGATCATTTCCAACTGAATCTGTAGATTACCCTGTATCATGCAATAATCATGAAACCTTGACACTTAGAACTGAAAGTACCTTCATCTGAAAGACGTGGGCTCGAACTATAAACTTTCAACACTGAATTGGACCAGTTCAGAACAAGTGAAATATATAATAACAATATAGATGTTTTCTGCGATTGGTTGACTGAATGTCTCATTATTCCACCGTCTCACCTATTATATTCCTCACAGAAGGATCGTTATCCTCAGTCAGAATAAACGTAACAACTACTACCTGTTGTCGTTTTTTTCTCACTACTTGTTTTTTTTTACAGAGATACATAACATGTTTATGGATTGGATCAGGTGAGGTGAGTACTTATATGGGTATTAACCAAGTATACGATGGTTGTCCTTTATATTTCGGGATTGGAGAACAAAAACAAATAATAATAAAAGAAAATTACTTTATTGTTCGTAAAATATTCCCCATGAAGATCTGTACACTTTTGCATGCGTTTAAACCAATTGTTGAAGCACTTTTGCCACTCTGATTGAGGTATCTCCAAAACATGCATTTTGAATGCATCAACCGCCTCTTCAGGTTTCGAAAAAGTTGACCTCTCAGTTTGTTTTTTACTTGCGGAAATGAAAAGAAGTTATTCGATGCCAAGTCAGGACTATAAGGCGGATTACTCATCAAATCGATGTTTTGGGTGCTCAAAAATGCAGTTGTTTGAGCCGATGTGTTAGAGCTCACATTGTCGTGGTGAAGAGTGATCCGTCTTCGGCGGTTGGTTTTCCTGATTTTTTGGAAGACACCTGGCAAACAAATAGTTGTGTACCACTCAGAATTGACTCTTCTGCGTTGTTCTAGTGGTACGGTTGCAACATGTCCAGTTTTTCAGAAAAAACTGGCCACCATTTGCTTGGAAGTGCTGGGTGCACGAACAACTTTTGTTGGATATGGCTCTTCTTGAAACACCCATACAGTCGACTGCTGTTTATTTTCGGGCTCATACGCGTAAATCCACAATTCATCACCTGTCACGATGTCATAGACGTGTTTCGAAGCACCGCGATCGTATTTTTTGAGCATTTCCTTCGACCAATCGACACCAGATTTTTTTTGAGTGATTGACAAATTGTGTGGGATCCAACGCGTACAATTTTTTTTGACAGTCGAATGTTTATACAATATTGAATGTATGCTGGTCCCACCAATGCACTATCAGTTCGCGCACAGCATTAATGGTTTTCCGAACAACAACTGGTTTTGGACGACCTTCACAAAATTCGTCTTGGAGTGGACTACGACCACAATTGAATTCCCCATACCATCGATAAACACTGGTTCTTGATGGAGCTTCATTGCCAAAAATTGAATTGAGTCATCCATGCACAGTTTCTGAGTTAATCTACGTCGAAAGTTGTAAAAAATAATCGCACGCAAATGTTTACGATTCAATTCCATTTTTGGGCCGAGGTGAATCTTCTGAGTTACTGTAAACAACACAAATAGGGCGCGTATGTCGAAATGTTCTGAGTACGTATAAGCTCAAAAATGTCCAACTGTATAATAGAGCTGTCAGTTGCCACATTGCAACAGTAGGGTTGCCAAATCCCGAAACATAAAAGGCAACCTATCGTATCAATTTTCATAAAGTACTGCATTGAGATTCCTTGCATTCGTATACTGACCATAGGCTCATTGGAAAATGTTATTATATTTCAATCAGCATATGAAATGAAGAATCTGTTGAAAGATTCATTGATTCATGAAGACAAATTGGTTTTTACAAATATTTTTGATTCAGTATCTTATAATGCTAACGCATTCTGATGTTCACTAGCAAACATTTGTTTTCAGTGCATCCAAAATTTCATGTTCGATAATTACAGTTGAATTTTCACAGTTACTGTTAGAGAATAGTTTCAAGAATCAAACGAAACCTTACAAAATCTGCAGTTGCATAGTAGAACATGATTTACACTAATCATCAACTTTTTCAATATTGAATTCATAACCAGGTAGCACTGTTTCGGATCGCCATAGGTCTCATCTGTGGTGCTAGGCCAAACCACGAATGCATTGCTGGACTCAACTGTCATCAAAGAACGAGCCTAAGTAATTGAGGGCGATGACATATTCTCTCACAAAAACGCCATCTTTGGAATCAACACAGAACTTTTAATATCAAAGATGAACGAGGCTCTTTGAAGCGTTAAGATCGACAGAGAGCTGACTCAATCCTCGAGTATCAAAGATAAACTCACCGCTTCGGAAAGTCATGTTTATTTTTGATATTCGACGAATGAGTTCCCTGTTGATACCATAGATTCTTTGTCAGGGAAGATATCATAGCCCTCTTTCAATTCTAGATATTTTCAAGAAAAAAGATACTTTACACTCCATGCATCCAATGGTTGTATTTTAGGCTTCCGTCTCTGCTGAACTTTTTTATTGAATCAATAATAAAAAAGGTTTCTGTGTGGTTCGAATCTACTGAGACATACTGTATGAATATTCGAATTTTCAGATGTCACCTAATCTAGAAGTGGACCTTGATGTGGTACAAACTTTCATGCCTGAAGTGCTCAAATGTAATGGAACACG